CCAGTGGTGAGAATCTTTGTTTTCTTGATGTTGAGCTTCAATCCATATTGAAGGCTGCAGTCCTTGACCTTCTGCAGCAAGTGCCTCAGGGCCTCCTCAGTTTCAGCAAGCAGGGCTGTGTCATCTGCATAATGCAGATTGTTGATGAGTCTTCCTCCAGTCCTGATGCCACACTTCTCATAGAGCCCAGCCTCCCAGATAATCTGTTCCACACATAAATTGAAAAGATACCTCTAGTTCTTTTGCTTTAGTTCACTATTGGTCTAAAAAAAATTTTTCCCCTGCCTTTTTAAGTTGTTCTTGGTGAAAGCATTGTTTTATCACAAACTACTTCTCATGCTTTGAAGGAAGAAACTACTCACAAAACTTTGTCTTCACATGTAGTTTCCTGTCATATATATTTGCTTTATTTTTACCTATAAATCATAACATCCATTTTACAGTTTTTACCTCAGTTTAAAAAATAAGACAAAACAAACTTTTCCCCTGATTGCACCTGATAGTCTCTTTGCATTATATGTACAAAGATTCTGGAAAACATCATTGTAGAAATATACAGATTGTAGACAAGATCTAGAGGTAGTAGTATCTGTTACCAGCTGAAAATTAGCAATGATTCTTAAACTATTTTAAAAAGTAGAAGGAATATTTGATGTGTAAAAGCCCAGTTATTCTACACAGCACCGAAAAACAAGGAAACCATTGTGACCATGAAGGACATTATGTTGAGTGAAATATCTCAGTCACAAAAGGACAAATACTGTATAACACCACTATTATAAAACAGGACTCCCATGGAAGTTGGAGAAAGACTAAGAAAAGAAGGGATAAATAATGAACACTGTATTGGAACATATGAAAGAAAGAACTGTCTGAAAGGGATGTATGATTAGACATTTTTATGACAACAGTCCAGAATAAGAGGTGCACAGCAAAGTGAACTGGGTGAGAAAGGGGTCAGAGAGGGGAAGTGAGGAAATTATGCAACAATGAATGAATTTTTTTTAACGTCAAGGCGGGGGATATGGAGGAAAATGTACAACAATAAATGAATGAAAATCCAACTTTTCTGTAAACTTTTGTTAAAATTGCAATTAAAAAATTAAAAACAAAAAGCCCAGTTTTCCATTCTAAGGAGTATTTGATCAATATGGTTTTTAAGTTTGGTGCCACTATTTTTTCTCTGTTTACTTACTGTTAACTAACAATGTGAGCTGAATTTACAGGGTATAATTTAAAAGTTCAAGAACTCTTCTTAAACTGTTAAAAATGTAAAATAAACAAGAAAACATGAGACAAAGATCTGAGATTCGTTTCCTCCTCTAATTCCCAAAATGTTACTCTTTAGTGTAACTATATATTTTCCTCCCCTTAGTTTTTCTTCCTCCTATTGGTTAATTGTAAGAAATATAGAAATTGAAAAGGAGAAAAACATCTTGTAATCCCACTACCAAGCAGTAATAATCAGTCTTAGAAACATTTTGGTCTGTATGTTTTGAGTATTTTTCTTTATTAAAGGTTCTTTGTTGTGCTTTTTTTAAAAAATACTGATTTATTTGCAAAGTTAATATACATTGTTTTTTATACTGGATCTTTACCATTTGCTTCACCCACCATTCCTTCCACCCATCAAATTGTGTGACCCTATGACTAACCACCCCCTGTTTTGTGTATTTTTCTATGTAAAAATGAATCTTCTTATATGATAGTGAGTCTTAGCCTAGATATTTCAATAATGTCATCTTTAAAAAAAAAAGAAAGAAAGAAAAATAATGTCATCTTTAAGCAATGAAAATATAAACATAGATTCTGGATATCACCTCAGACTTTGGAATCAGAATCTTTCAGGCTAATATTAAGAAGGTTTTGTTTTTTAAAAAAGTGCCACTGCTCCTTAGAATTTTAGAAATAACCTTGAGCATTTTTTAAATGGAAAAATATTATAACACAGAAGCTTTAACTTTGTGTTTAGCTTTTTATCTAATTTTTCAATTTTAACTTTTTCCTAGCCCTTCCACCCTATGGTGAATCTGGATTGCTCTCGGGATTTCCGGCCGTTTCTTTGTGCACTCTATGCTCCTATTTGTATGGAATATGGACGTGTCACACTTCCCTGTCGTAGGCTGTGTCAGCGAGCCTACAGCGAGTGTTCGAAGCTCATGGAAATGTTTGGTGTTCCTTGGCCTGAAGACATGGAATGTAGTAGGTGCGAAAATCACAGATTTTCATAGATCATTTCTAATGTTTTATTGTGTTTGCTTGTTGTCTTCTATATTGACAGTTTTATAGAAATTTTTTTCTGTATTTCCAGTCAGAAGAATGCCCATATTTGACATCAGTTTTAATCAGCTGTTTTGTAGTTTCAAAGTTGATTAGTAGCTTAAGAATTAGAAGTATTAACTAAAAGAAGGAGCTATGATGGCCTGCTGGTAAGGAGCTGTGCTACGAACCCAAAAGCACTTGGTTTGAATCTACCAGCTGCTCTATGAGAGAAAGATGGGCAGTCTCTCATGGAATTTACTGCGTCTGAAAATATGCTGGGGGGTCAGCTATGGTTCCATACTGACTGGACTGTACACACAACAACAAATAAGAAAAGAGCAAGCTCTGGAGCTCTAGTGGGTTATGCTGTTAACCCAGAGACTACACAACTCCTCTGGTTTTAATCCACTGGGACCTCTGAAAGAGTAAGATAGACTGTCTTCTCCTGTTAAGATGTATTGCCTCAGAAACTTGATGAAGGGTTGCTGTGAATAGGAACCGACTTGAATAGATTCAAGAATAGAGCTCCTGGGCTGTGTTTTTTTAAAAATCTTTATCCCTTGTATAGGTACACTAAATACTAGAACACAGCAGATTTCTGTAATGTAATTTTAATCCATGTGAAGAAAATAATTTTTATTAGAAAATACAACAAAATATATTAGTCAAACCCATAGCAAAAGTTATACATTTTAACAATCTTTGTATTAATGGTAGTTTCTTGTAAGCTATTTGATGAAAAGTGATTCAAACATGTAGTTAATTGGAGATAAAGTTTAGAAACTGATATTGACAAAATCAAGGATGAAGAAAATTCTAAGAATTGTGTCCTTGGTCATGTAAGTATGTTTGCAATACAATTCTTTCTTTGTCCTAAGGCTTTAATGCTTTTAATACCCTGAATCACCTCCAGATTTCTGAGCCCTCCATACAGCATGCCAAACATAATATTTTGATAGTAGAAGCTAGGAATTTGCATTATTAAAAAAATCCTCAAGGTTTTCTTATGTACACCAAAGCCTGTTATTAATTGAATTAGACAATAAAATGGGTTAGAGAAAAAGCAAAGATGGTAAGCAAGACTGATTTGATGGTAAGATCTTTCATTAACTTATAGGCTTCGTAGAATTGAATTTAAAATGGGAAGAAAAGATCAAAAACCCCAAAACAGCTTGCAAGATTTTTTTAAGAAATTTAGGTATTGTGTTAGGTGAAAATTTACACAGCCAACTTGGTTCCATTTTAAAAATTTATGCCCATTGTTGTTTGACATTGGGTACAATTTTCACAATGTGTCAGTATTCTCTTTACTTCTGTTTGTTCTGTTTTCATTGATTTCTCTTTTCTCTCCTCCTTGCCTTCTTATTTTTGCATTAGGGTAAATAATGAGTGTTTAGCCATATGAAGTTGATTGTTTAAGATACCACATTGCTTAGGTCTGATGTAATTTATTTTATAAGCCTACTTAGTACGTGTCTGAAAGGTGAGCTCAATGAATGACATTAGTTCAGAGTTCAAAGAGTATTATTCCTTTTTTTATTTCCTGTAATTTCTTTGTATAATTTTTATTGTGATTCTAATGAAACTTTACAGAAAACGTTAATTTCCATTTATTCATTGTTGCACATTTTCCTCCCTATCCCAACCCCAGTACACTTTTCTCTTTAAAAAACGCATTCACTGATGCATGGTTTTCCTCTTCTCCCCACACCCCCACCAGTCCACTTTGCTCTGCAGCTTTTATTCTGGACTGTTGTCAAGCAAATAATGCCTAATCATATATTCCTTTTAAGCATTTCTTTCCCTCATCTGTTCTGATGCAGTGTTTATTATTTATTCCCTCTTTTCTAGCTTTCCCCCATTCTCTGTGTTGGTCCTGTTTTATAACAGCAGCATTGTGCAGTATTTGTCCTCTTGTGACTGAGACATTTCACTCAGGATATCCTCCAGGATCACCCATTTTGTATATTATTTCATGAGTTCCTTGTTTTTTGGTGCTGCATAGTATTACATCGTGACTATAGCACAGTTTCAATATCCATTCATTTGTTGGTGGACATTTGGATTGTTTCCATCTCTTTGCTATTGTGAACAATGCAGCCATAAACATGGGTATGCCTATATCTATTTGGGTGGCTGTTCTGGTTTCTTTAGGGTATATTCTCAATATTGCAATTGCTTGGTCAAATGGTATTCCTATTTCCAGTTTTTTGAGAAAGTGCCATACTGCCTTCCATAGTGATTGCACCAGTGTACACTCCCACCAATAGTGAATAAGGGTTCCAATTTTCCATAACCTCACCAGCATTTGTTTTTTTGCTTCTCTGTTGAACCTTGCTTTTGTTACTGGGGTGAGATGATATCTCATAGTTGTTTTGATTTACATCTCTCCTAGAGCTAGGGATTTTGACCATTTCTTCATGTGTTTGTTCACCATCTGAATGTCTTCTTTTGTGAAGTGTCTGTTCATATCCTGTGCCCCCTTTGTGATTGGTTTGTTTACCTTTATCTTGTTGAGGTGCTGAAGTATTCTATAAATTCTCGATATAAGTCCCTTATCAGACATGTCATTACAAAATTTTTTTTCCCTGTCTGTGGCTTTCTTTCTATTTTTCTCTGTTGGAGTATTTGATGTGCATAGGGATATGATTCTTAGCATGTCCTATTCATCTATTTTATCCTCTTCTGGTTGTAGGTTTTTCAGGATTCTTGGAAGACTGTTTATGTTGTGGATTAAGGCTCGCTCCTAGAGTTCCTCCAAGCTTTTCTCTTATGGTTTTATTCCTAGATCCTTGACCCACTTTGAGTTGTTTTTTTCTGTATGGTGTGGAGGTGTGGGTCTTGCTTGAGTTTTGTGCATATAGTTTTCCAAATTTACCAACATTTGTTAAAGAGGCTTTCCATCTCTTACCTAACCAATTTCATCTCCTTGTCAAAAATGGTTGACTACAGGTGGATGAGCTGATTTCTGGGTTCTCAATTCTATTCCATTGATCTGTGTATCTATCACTATACCAGTACTGTGCTGTCTTGACCACCAGGACTGTGTAGTAGGATTTGAGATCAGGGAATTAGATGCCTCCTACCTTGTTTTTCTTTTTCAGGAGTACTTTGCTAATTTGGGGTTCTTTCCATTCCAGGTGAAATTAAAAATTGCCTTTTCCATCTCATTGAAGAACAGAATTTGGTTTTGTGCTGATATTGCATTGAACTTGTAGATTACCTTTGCTAGAACTGTCATTTTCACAGTATTGAGTTATTGTATCCATGAGCATGGTATATTCTTCCATTTCTCCAGGTCTCTTTTTGTTTCTTGCTGTTATGTTTTATAATTTTTTAAAATATGTCTTTTGTGTTTCTAATTAAATTTACTCCCAAGTATTTAATTTTATGGTTAGCTATTGTGATGGAAATTTTTTTTTCTCAGCTCCATTTCTTATTTCCTTTGTCACACTAGAGAAATCCAGTGATTTTTGTATGTTGATCTTATATCCTGCCACTTTGCTAAATTGGTTAACTACATCCAATAGATTTCTTGTTGGGTGTTTAGGGTCTTCTAAAGGGTCTATCATATCATCTACATATGGAGATAATTTTGCCTCCTCCTTGCCAACTTGTATACCTCTTACTTCCTTCTCTTGTTTCAATGCTGTCACTAAGACTTTCAATACATTATTGAATAGGAGAGATGATAGTGGGCCTCCTTGCCTATTTCCTGTTCTCAAAGAGAATGTGTTTACTCTCCCGACATTAAGAATGATGTTGGCTCTTGGTTTTGGGTACATACTTTTTACTATGTTGAGGAAATTCCCCTCTATTCCTATTTTGTTGAGTGTTTTAATCAGGAAAGGGTGTTGAATTTTGTTAAAGGCTTTTTCTGCATCAGTTGATCATGTGGTTCTTGTTCTTTATTTTGTTAATTTGATCAGTTAGACTGATTATTTTTCTTACGTTGAGTCATCCTTGCATACCTGTTATGAATCCCACTTGGTCTTGGTGAATTGTTATTTTTGTGGTTTGTTGATTTTATGATCTTTTTGAAAAACCAACTCCTGGTTTTGTTGATGGTTTCAATTGTTTTTCTGTTTTCTATTTTATTTTTTTTATTTCAGCCCTAATTTTTATAATTTTGGGTTTTGTTTTGTTTTCTTGCTGTTCTTTTTCAATTTACTGGAGATGTTGAATTAGAGAGTCAGGTATCATTTTTTTCTTGCCTTGTTGATATGTTTGCTTATTGCTATAAATTGACCTCTACTGCTTTGGCTGTTTCCCAGAAGTTTTGGTAAGTTGTGTTTTCGTTGCTAATTTGTTTCAAGAAACTTTTTAATTTTATTTTTTATTTCTTCTAGTACCCACTCATGTTTTCAGCAAGGTGTTGTTCAGCTTCCAAATGTATGAGGTTTTTTCTCCTTTATCCTCTTGTTATCAATTTCTAATCTTATAACATTATGATCTGAGAAGATGCTTTGTAATATTTCCTTGTTTTTTTAATTTATTGATGCTTGTCTTGTGACAAAAAATGTGATATATTCTGGAGAACATTCCATGAACACTGGAGAAAACAGTACACTGGGCTTTTTTCAGGTTCGTTAGCCTATATATATCTATGAGATCGAGTTGATTTATTGTTTGGTTTAGTTTTTCAGCATCTTTGTTGATTTCCTTTCTGGTAGTTCTATCTTTTCGTGAGAATGGTGTATTGAAGTCTCCTACTACTATAATGTTGTTTACTTCTTTTTTCAATTTTGTTAATGTTTGCTTTGTATATTTTGCTGCTCTGTAATTTGGTGCATAGATATTTATTATAATGTCCTCTTGTCCTATTGACCTTTAAAGCATATTATAGTGAACTTCCTTGTCCTGTGAGGGTTTTTGCTTTGAAATCTATTTTATGAGAGATTAATATCACCACTCTTTTTTTCTGGTTGTCATTTGCTTGGTATA